GAGGAGGAGGAGGAGGAGGAGGAGGAGGAGGACTGTGGGGTCCTTGGTGCTCTGAGCCTGGCTGTTTCCTTGCAGATGTTTCATGACCCAACTAGGAAACATCATCAGTGCTAGAAGGGAGTGAGGTGTACAGAGGAGGAGGAGGAGGACTGTGGGGTCCTTGGTGCTCTGAGCTTGGTTCTTTTCTTGCAGATGTTTCATAACCCAACTAGGGAACATCATCAGTGCTAGAAGGGAGTGGGGTGTAGATAGGAGGAGGAGGAGGGGGAGGAGGAGGAGGAGGAGGACTGTGGGGTCCTTGGTGGTCTCTGAGGTGGGTGGTTTTCTTGCAGATATTTCCCAACTAGGTAACAACATCAGTGCTAGAAGGCAGCAAGGTCTGTTCTCTGTTTATATACAACTGGCTTGCCCTCTCAAGGAGAGTATTCTTTGTGGTTTCTTGATTAGGCTGTTGTTTACTGCTGGCTTGTTTGTCTGTTAGATAATCGTTTCTTGATTGGGGTATTCTTGACTAGTGATAATTAGCAATTGTTGGCCTAGTGTTAATCTAGGTGTTAATCTTTGCTTATCTAATTGTTGATTGCTAGGGAGGAGATAGTTTTGGTCTTTTTTCTTTCCTCTTTGTCCCCTTTGAGTGGTAGGTAGAGGTTGTTGGTCTCTATGTGCTTGTTGATGGCTGAATTTCTGGAAGCCTGGCAAAATCAATCAACCCTCAACAGGCCCGTAGAGATAAACAGCACTTAAATACCATTCAAAAGAGGCAATCAGAAGGGCCAAAAGGGAATCAAAAAGACCAAAACATCTCACCATCCAGCCACACACGCCAACTACTTTCAGCTTGTGTCATTCAGACGGCGCCTCTTATAAATACTGTAAATGTTAACTCTTAAGCCAACAGAAGGACGGAGAAGATTCCTTCTCTTCCTTAAACTAGACAGACCCAATTCCAGTAACCGTTCCTTGTATGTTTTAGCCTCCAGTCCCCTAATCATCTTTGTTGCTCTTCTCTGGATTCTTTCTAGATGACAGGGAAGGTTTTAAAAAAGGTCCATTTGACCCCCATCAACCACCAGACTAAACGTAACCTTCAAATGATCTTGTCCAGGATCGTGGTCACTCATGATTCCATTGTTCTAGGACAGGGGTAGGCAACCTTGGCTCTTTTATGACTGGTGGACTTCAACTCCCAGAATTCCTGAGCCAGCATGGCTCAGCTTGGAAACCTCTCCCTTTCCCCTCAGCATGGCTGGCTCAGGAATTCTGGGAGTTGAATTCCACTAGTCATAAAAGAGCCCAGGTTGCCTACCCCTGTTCTAGGAATATCAGGTGCACCTCGACTCCATAGGATGTCAACAGAACCCCTTCAGATGTTTAAAAAAAACATCCAGAGAAGTGAACTAGGAAAGATTCTCTTGTCTCTTCTAAACTACACTAGTCTAAAGAAAAGAAGAAACAAGGAAGACATGATAGCAGTGTTCCAGTATCTGAGGGCTGCCACAAGGCAGAAGGGGTCAGGTTGTTCACAAGAGCACCAGAGGGAAGGACAAGAAACAATGGTTGGAAACTGATCAAAGAGAGAAGCAACATGTAATTAAGGAGAAACTTCCTAACAGTGAGGACAATCAACCAGTGGAACACCTTGCCTCCAGAAATCGTGGGCGCTCCATCACTGGAGGTTTTTAAGAAGAGACTGGACATTCACTTGTCTGAGATGGTGTAGGTTCTCCTGCTTAAGTGGGGGGCTGGACTAGAAGACCTCCAAAGTCCCTTCCAGCTCCTATTCTATTCTATTCTATTCTATTCTATTCTATTCTATTCTATTCTATTCTATTCTATTCTATTCTGTAATTCTATTCTATTCTATTCTATTCTATTCTATTCTATTTTACTCTACTCTACTCTACTCTACTCTACTCTACTCTACTCTACTCTACTCTACTCTACTCTACTCTATTCTAAACTCTGGCTTGAAGGCTTTTGAGGGTCCACTCATCAAGCCTTTGACTATGAACCTCAACTGTGGCCTTTGCTTTTGCAGGTGGCTGTATAACCTCTTCGAAAGCAAGGTGGAATCGGCTTTCAAGACAGCCATGGAAAGCAAGGTAAAGACTTGGGATCCTGGCTGAGGAATTCTGGGAGCTGAAATCCACAAATCTTAAAGTTGCCAAAGTTGCAGACCCCTGCCCTGTATACCCTTTGAGACAAATGGCTGTCCAGTCTCTTTCTGAAACTTTTGGAAAGGACTCTTCCCTCGGCGAGGGATGGGACTAGAAGACCTTCAAGGTCCCTCCTTGCCCTAGGACTCTTATGATTCTATATCTGGGATGGAACCCATTGTGCAGCGGGTGGAATACGGAGTCCTTCGGCGAGTTTATTTATTTTATCTTAACAGCTCTTCAGGGAATGATCAGCAACTGAGAGCAATTACTACAGACCTTATGACACTGAGCAATCAAATTGCTCATCCAAATGGAACTCGGCCCGCATTTTCAGACACGGTCACTGGTACTATTGCCACATATTTCTGAAGTGACCTTTCCAAAGTTTTTTTCCTAACATCATGGTTTCAGTGGCCAGCTTTTAAGACTATTTTTGAGGTTTTGCAAAACTCTATTGCAACACACAAATGCCTGCTTTGGGTTGGCCTACAAACTGAGGAGGGGGTCACATCCAGCAACCTTCCGTGGTAGGAAATGATGGCTAGGAGAGGCCCTACTTTTCCATCTTTTCTGGTTCCTCCTGAAAGTCGTTGCTTGATTTTGCTTTCCCTCTCTTAAGGACTACCATCTTGTGCATTTTTTTTTCCAGATCTGTGAGATAGTGAGAACTTCTGTTAACTCCAAACTGGAGTCCCACCTTCAGTCTCTGCCAGGTAAGAGCGAAACCCTTGGAGTATGGATGGACCCTCAAAAGCTTGCTCCATCAGGAGAAGAGCATCATTTAAGGCAGGGGTCTTCAAACTTGGCCCTTTTATGACTTGTGGACTTCAACTCCCAGAATTCTTCAGCCAGCATGAGGGAACTATGAGCCTTTTATGACTGGTGGACTTCAACTCCCAGAATTCCTCAGCCAGCATGAGGGAACTATGACCCTTTTTATGACTGGTGGACTTCAACTCCCAGAATTCCTCAGCCAGCATGCCTGGCTGAGGAATTCTGGGAGTTGAAGTCCACAAGTCATCAAAGGGCCAAGTTTGAAGACCCCTGATGTAAGGAAACCAACATTTGTTTGCATCTCAGTGTTTCTGCCAAACTGGTCTAGAGCTTCTAGTTTCTCTTTTGACTTACTGTTGGACCCCTTATTATAGAACAGTAGAGTTGGAAGGGACCTTGAAGGTCTTCTAGTCTAACCTTCTGCTCAAGCAGGAGACACAATACCATCCAGGATAAATGGCTTTCCAATGTCTTCTTGAAGACCTCCAGTGATGGGGCATCCATAATCTCTGGAGGCAAGCCTTTCTACGGATTAATTGTTCTCACTGTCAGGAAATTTCTCCTTAGTTCCAGGTTGCTTATCTCCTTGATTAGTTTCCATCTGTTACTTCTTATCCTGCCCTCTGAGTCTGGAGGCTAAACCATACCATGAATGGTTGAGGGACCTAGATATGTTTAGTCTAATGAAGAGAAGGACTAGGGATGATATGATAATCTTCCAATACTTGAGGGCCTCCAACAGAGAAGATAGGGTCAAGCTATTCTCCAAAGCACCTGAAGGCAGGATAAGAAGCAATGGATGGAAACTCATCAAGGATAGAAGCAACCTGGAACTAAGGAGAAACTTCCTGACAGTGAGGACAATTCAACAGTGGAGCAGAAGTTGCCTCCAGAAGTTCTGGGTGCTCCATCCCTGGAGGCTTTTGAGAAGAGATTGGGTAGCCCTTTGTCTGGAATAGTAGAGGATCTCCTGCTTGAGCAGGAGGTTGGACTTGAAGACCTCCAAGGTCCCTTCCAGCTCTAGATTTTATGGTTCTCCATCATCTTTGAGACTGTCCTACAGAAGGGACAAAGATCCTTCATGTCATCCCCATGTTGTCTTTCCCCCCAGTTACCACCAGTATCGACCACACATCTAGCATCGATTATTCTCTGGTTGGGCCACCCGTTGCGACAAGTGATTGCGTAGACTTGGACCTCAAGGTAAGCTTCAGCAGAAAACCTGGAGGAGGATGGTCTTGCAGAAGGATGCCCCTCAGATGCTTGTCCTTCTTCCCTCCTTCCCTCCCCCGGTGGGTCTCGGCCTCTTTTTGCCAAGACAGGATGCAACCATTTTAGGAGTTGCCCTACAGTTCTTCTTTGCTTCTCGCTTCAGAATGGAGAGAAACCAAGCCACCGAGGTGGGTGGAGAGGACACCTGGGGTCCCAGATCACCCACTGCTGCTATTCAGCGCCTTCTGTACTACTCGCCTCTTAGAGAGCCAGTTGGATGTCATGGTTAAGGCAATCACAAGCTAGAAACCGGGAGGCTGTGAGTTCTAGTCCCACATTAGGCATGAAAGCTGGCTGGGTGACTTGGAGTCAATTGCCAGGAGACGGTGAGTTGACCATCTCCTTATGCCTAAGGCGGGACTAGAAGTCACCGTCTCCTTGCGATTGGCCCAAAGTCACCCAGCAGGCTTTTATGCCTAGGCAGCACTAGAACTCACAGCCTCCTTGTGATTGGCCCAAAGTCACCCAGCCAGCTTTCCTGCCTAGGGCGGGACTAGAACTCACAGCCTCCTGGTGATTGGCCCAAAAATACCCAGTTGACTTTTATGCCTAGGCAGAACTAGAACTCACAGCCTCCTTGTGATTGGCCCAAAGATACCCAGTTGGCTTTTATGCCTAGGCAGGACTAGAACTCACAGCCTGCTTGTGATTGGCCCAAAGTCACCCAGTCAGCTTTTATGCCTAGGCAGGACTAGAACTCACAGCCTCCTTATGATTAGCCCAAAGTCCACCCAGTTGGTTTTTATGCCTAAGGCGGGACTAGAACTCACCATCTCCTGGTGATTGGCCCAAAGTCACCCAATTGGCTTTTATGCCTAGGCAGGACTAGAACTCACAGCCTCCTTATGATTGGCCCAAAGTCACCCAATTGGCTTTTATGCCTAGGCAGGACTAGAACTCACCGTCTCCTAGCCTGGTGTCTTAATAACGAAATCAAACTGGCTCCCTAACTCTAATCTCCATGGGGAAGACATTCCCCAGAGCTGGGGATCCTGCCCCAAAGGACCATCTCCTGGTCCTCCCCATCCGACTCTCTTTGGCTGACGGGATCTGCAGCAGCTCCCATCGGCTGGATCGAAATGGATGGAGATTCTTGGGGAAAGACCCGGTCCCTTAGGGATCCCGCTCCCTTCCCTCTTTCCGTGTGTCTTCCTAACTTCTCTCGTGTTCTCCCACCAGGGTGAATTCTTCTCCAACGCCCAGCGTACTCCGGCTCCTTTCCCCCCGCCTCCCCTGTCTTTTCCGGTGGATCCGGACCGCATGATCCAGTTTGGGATTTCCACGTACTTCTTCAACACGGCTGGCCAGGTTTACTACCAATCGGAAAGCCTGACCACCTGGATCGTGGATGACATGGTGAGGACGCGCAGATCGTGAAGCCCTGCCCGGAAGCACCTGGGATGGCCAGTCCTGCTTTCTCCTGCCTGATCCTGTGCACAACATTTGTGTTTGTGCATGGTGTGTGTGTGTGTGTGTGTGAACAGGGGGGGAACAGCAGAGCGCCAGATCCTCAAAACTGCATCCCCAATTAATTTTCCAAGCAGAAACTTTAATCGACCAAGATGCAGACGTTTCTGCTGGGGGTTTGGAAGCCACTGAGGAAGCTTCTTCTAATATCACTTTACAAGGCCTTGGTAAGGCCACACTTGGAATCCTGCATCCAGTTTTGCTCACCACGATGTTAAAAAAGATGTTGAGACTCTAGAAAGAGTGCAGAGAAGAGCAACAAAGATGATCAGGGGAGTGGAGGCTAAAACATATAAGGAAAGGTTGCTGGAACTGGGGATGTCTAGTTTAACAAAGAGAAGGATGAGGGGGGACAGGATAGCAGGGTTCCAGTAACTCAGGGGCTGCCCCAAAGAAGAGGCAGTCAAGCTATTCTCCAAAGCACCTGAAGGCAGGAGAAGAAGGAACGGGTGGAAACTTATCAAGGAGAGAAGCAACCTGTAACTAAAGAGGAATTTCCCGACAGTGAGAACAGTTAACCAGTGGAACTACCTGCCTCCAGAATTGGTGAATGCTCCAACACTGGAAGTTTTTAAGAAGAGACTGGACAGCCATTTGTCCGAAATGGTATAGGGTTTCCTGCCTGAGCCGGGGGTTGGACTTGATGACCTTGTTCTAACTGTCAGGAAGTTCCTCCTTAGTTCTAGGCTGCTTCTCTCCTTGATTAGTTTCCATCCGTCGCTTCTTCTCCTGCTATCATCTCTCCCTATTTCTTCTTTTCTTAATTTGATTCCTAAGTGAACCAGAGACAGTCAACGGGGCTAAAGGTGACTTAGGGGTCTTGGACAGGCTGAGGACTCACCTCCCACCCTCTTTCCCCCCTGCAGGTTCCTAAGGAAATTAAAATCCGGCTGAACACCCTCTCCTTCGAACCCTTCATCCCCCAGGTCAGCACCTCGGCCTTCCGACTCTGGGCTCCCGTGAAAACGGAAGGGGGGGGCGTGGGGTGTGGGGAGCTGCTAAGTATATGTGTCTTGGGGGGGGGAGAGAGGAGATGGTCTGGAGCCTTCTGAGGTGGCACCATCCGAAATTATGAAGTCCCGAAGGCAAAGATGGACCTCGGAGTCACACCTGAAGTGCAGCAGAAGACAGAAACCAGATGAGGATCTGATAGTATTTCTTTGGACAATGTTTTCTTGAAATCTGGGGTTCACTTCACTTCAGCTTTTATACTGATGTTTCTTCCTCCTCCTCCTCCTCCTCCTCCTCCTGCTCGCAAACCCCACTCCCTTCTAGCATTGATGATGTTGCCTAGTTGGGTCATGATGTCTGCAAGAAAACCACCAAGCTCTGAGAGCACCAAGGACCCCACAGTCTTCTTCTTTTCCTCCTCCTCCTCCTCCTCCTCCTCCTCCTCCTCCTCCT